AGAAGGAGGAGGAGGAGAAGAAGAAAAAAAAAGAAAGAAAAAAAAACCAGAGGAAAATAGTCTAACAATAAAATGGCACTACCCGTCAGTAAATGAATGGATCAAAAAATTGTGGTACATATACACGGAATTTTGCAGAGAGAGAAAGAAAGTCTACTTTAAATGATGGAATGGTTAAGGACAAATACATATGATCTCTTTAACAGGAAGCTAATATATAGAAATAGAAAAAAAAAAGAATAAAATGAGAAGTGGAAAGAGGGGAGAGGGAAGGGAATTTAAGGGGAAAAAGGGAGGGATTTTGAGAAAGTAGTGGGAGGGGGTGGGGTTGACAGAAAATGTATGAAAATATATAAAAAAATAATTAAAATTGGCCTAATACATATCTATCAATAATCACCTTGAATGTAAATGGCTTAAATGCTCCAACCAAAAGAGATAGGGTAGCTGAATGGATAAGAAAACAAGACCCATATATATGTTACTTACAACAGAGCCATCTAGATCGAAAGATACACACAGATAAAATTAAAGGGTGGGGAAAAATATGTCATGAAAATAGAAAAGAAAAGAAAAAAGATGGGGTAGTGTAGTAATACTTATATCTGACAAAATAGAATTTTAAACCAAGGCTATAGTAGGAGATAAAGAAGGACACTACATAGTGATAAAGGGAAAAATATAACAAGAGGATATAATCCTAGTAAACATTTACACACCCAACAGAAAAGCACCTAAATATATAAAGCAAATCTTGATGGACATAAAAGGAGAGATCAACAGAAATGCAGTCATAACTGGGGATTTTAACATCCCATTGACTTCCATGGATAGATCTTCCAAACAGAAAATCAACAAGGAGAAAGCAGCCTTTCGTGACACATTAGATCAAATGGATTTAATTGATATCTTCAAACATTTCATCCCACAGCAGCAGAATATACATACTTTCTGAGTGTACATGAACATTTTCTAGGACAGACCACATGTTAGGGCACAAAACAAGTCTCAATAAATTAAAGAAGATTGAAATCATATCAAGCATCTTTTCTGACTACAGTGCTATGAAACTACAAATCAATCACAAGATGAACACTGAAAGTCATACAAAGACATGGAAGCTAAATTACGTATTATTAAATACTGAATAGGTCAACACCAAGATCAAGGAAGAAATCCAAAGAAACCTTGAAACAAATGAAAATGAGGACACAACAATCCAAAACAAGTGGGACACAGGGAATAAAATCCTAAGAGGGAAATTTCATAGCATTACAGGCCTATCTCGAAAAATAAGAAAAAGCTCAAATAAACAATCTGACTTCACACTTAAAGAACTTGAAAAAGAGCAACAAAGCCAAAAATGAGTAGAAAGGAAGGAAATAACAAAGATCACAGCAGAAATAAATGAGAGTCTTAAAAAATGATACAAAAGGTCAATGAATCCAAGAGCTGTTTCTTAAAGAAATAAAACAAAAAACCTTTAACCTGACTTATCAAGAAAAAAAGAGAAAGGACTAGACTAAATAAAGTCAGAAATGAGAGAGGAGAAATAACAACTGACATCAAAGAAATTCAAACAATTGCAAGGAAATATAATGAACAACTCTATGACCACAAACTTGACAACTTGGATGAAATAGATAAATTCCCAGAAATGTGCAATCTTCCAAAAATAAATCAGGAACAATTGGAAAGTCCGAATAGACAGATTATACCTAGTGAAATTAAAGCAGTAATCAAAAACTCCCAACAAATGAAAACCATGGGCCAGTTGGCTTCACAGATGAATTTTATCAAATATTCCAAGAAGAACCAACACCTCTCCTTCTCAAACTATTTCATAAAATTCAAGAGGAAGAAAGGCTCCCAAACTCATTTTATGAGGCCAGTATTACCCTAATTCCAAAACCAGATAAAGACACTGCAAGGAAAGATAATTATAGGCCAGTATGCCTGATGAACAATAGTTGCTAAAACCCTCAACAAAATATTAGCCAAATGAATACAGCAGTGCATCAAAAACATCATACACCATGATTGAGTGGGATTTGAGAATGCAAGGTTTGTACAACATTTGCTAATCAATAAATGTCATACATCAAATAAACAAAATGAAGGATAAAAACCACACGATCATATCAATAGATGCATAAAAAGCACTTGGTTAAATACAACACCCATTTATGATAAAAACTCAGCAAAGTGGGAATAGAGGGAACATACCAAAACATAATAAAGGCCATATATGACAAACCAGCATCATACTCAATAGGCAAAAACTGCAAGTGTTCCTCTTAAGATAGGGAACAAGACAAGGATGCCTGCTTTCACCTCTCTTGTTCATCATAGTACTGGAAGTCCTAGCAATAGCAATCAGACAAGAAGAAGAAATTGAAGGCATCCAAATTGCAAAGGCAGAAGTTAAAAGAGTCTTTATTTGCAGATGACATGATACTGTACATAGTGAACTCCAAAGATTCCACCAAGAAATGACTAGAACTGATAAATGAATTCACCAAAGTAGCAGGATACAAAGTTAATATCCAGAAATCAGTCACATTTTTATATGCCAATAAGAAACTAACAGAAAAGGAAATTAAGAAAATAATCCCATCCACAATTGCTTCAAAAAGAATAAAATGCCTAGGAATAAACCCAAACATGGATGCAAAGAACCATGGAAAATTATAAGGCACTGAAGAAAGACATTGTAGAAGATACAGATAAATGGAAGCACATAATGTGTTCGTACATAAGAAGAATTAACATCATTAAAATGTCCATACTACCCAAAGCAATCTATAAATTCAACACAATTCCAATCAAGATTCCAATGACATATTTCACAGAACTAGAACAAATATTTCAAAATTTATATGGAACCACAAATGGCCCTGGGAATGCAACAGTGACCCTGAGAAAGAAGAACAAAGTTGGGGGAATCACACTACCTAATATCAAATTATACTACTAGGCCATAGTAATAAAAAAGCCTGCTAGTGGCATGAAAACAGACACATAGATCAATGGAACAGAAAAGAGAGCCCTGAAATAAACCTACAGCTTTATAGTCAATAATATTCAACAGAGGAAGCAAGCACATGCAATGGGCTAAAGATAGTTTATTCAATGAATGATGTTGAGAAAATTGGACAGACACATGCAGAAAAATGAAATTAAATCACCTTCTTACACCACACACACAAAATACTTTCAAAATGGATCAAAGACTTAAATACTAGGCCTGAAACCATAAAAATCCTAGAAGAAAACATAGGCAGCAAAATCCTGGACATTGCTTGTAAAAATTTTTTATTGGCTACATCTCCCCAGACAAGGGAAACAAAAAGAAAAATAAACAAATGAGACTTCAAACTAAAAATGTTTTCAAAGCAAAGGAAATTATCATCAAAATAAAAAGGCAATCCACAGAATGGGAGAACATATTCACTGATACATCTGATAAGGGGTTAATATCCAAAGTTTATAAGTACTTACCATACTCAACACCAAAAACCAAACAACCAAATTAAAAATGCACAAAGGGCCTGAATAGACGCCTCACCAAAGAGGACATGCAGATGGCCAATAGACATATGAAAAGATGCTCAATATCACTAATCATCAGAGAAATGCAAATGAGAACCATAATGTGATACCATCTCACAACTGTCAGAAAGGTTATCATCAATAATCAACAAACAACAAATGCTGGTGAGGATGTGAAAAGAAGGTACCCTTTTGCACTGTTGGTGGAAATGAAGATTGGAGCAGCCACTGTGGAAAGCAGTATGCAGATACCTCTAAAGTTAGAAATGTATCTTCCTTTTGACCCGGTGATCTCTTTCTTGGAATATAGGAACACAAAGGAACCCAAACACTAATTTGAAAGAACATAAACACCCCTATGTTCATTGCACTGTTATTTACAGTCGCCAAAATGTGGAAGCAGCCCAAGTGTCCATCAATAATGAGTGGATAATACAAGTACTCAGCAGTAAAAAAGAAGAAAATTTTACCCTTTGCTACTGCGTGGATGGATGTGGAGAACAATATGTTAAATGAAATAAGTCAGTCAAATACAAATACCATATGATTTTACTTATATGTGGTATCTAATGAACAAACTGAACTAACAGCAAAATAGAGACAGACTCATAGATGGAGAGCAGATGAGAACTAGTGTGGGAGGGGAGGTTAGGGGTTGGAGGGACTGAGCAAAAAGGAAAAAGCACTCATGGACATGGACAATAGTGTGGTGATTGCTGGGGGGAGGAGGGTACAAGGGAGCCAAATGATAATGGGAAAATATACAATAAAGATAAAGTTAAAAAAGAAAACGTAAATAAAGGGGTAACATCTTGCTAAGGAGGATGCCACAGAGACAGAGAAGGTTTTGTGAGCACTGTGAGCACATCAGAACTGGAAGGACGCAGCTCACTCCAACCTTCCATTGTACAGATGAAGAAACTTGAGGCCTAGACTGGTAACGACAAGCTAGGTGGTCCCATGCTGAGGGAGCAGAGGCAAATTTCAGGGAGGGCCAGTGAGGGAATAAATGGGGGGAGGGAAAAATACCAAGTCTGGTGAGTAGAAAAAATAGGAGTTACATTTGCAAATCAGGGAAAGGTGTACCTCAGTGTGCCTTGCTGGGAGACAAACAAAAGAAGAAAAGGAGACTATAGAATATTTTGTATTTTTGCAACTAAAGAAGTGAGGTGAGGCAAGAACACAGTGGGCATTTGACCAAGTAGGGTTAGGTCTTTTGCAAGAGTCATGCTGGGCATTATAACAATGTGGGCAAAAAAGCAATGTAAAGTGGTGGAAAGGCCACGGGGGTGGAACAACATTTGGCTTACTGAGCTCTCTGCACTTTGGAGGGAAATTGGAGGAGTTTGGGAGGACTTAGTGCAGAATGAGATCACATAAGGAAGAATTTGATTTCTATATAAAAGGGTGAATTTAAATCTATGATTCAGAAATACTTGTTACTCAGCCCGTTTGCAGATACGTGGGGCCACATGGACTGGGAGTGTGAGTACCAGTGTGAGGCCAGGGAGAACCCATGTGAATTCCCAGCTATCTCCTCCCCTTCTGAGGGGATCACAGAGCCAGCGGATGCATCAGGAGACATGGAATTGAAGAAGCCTGGGTCGCTCTATCTCCACATCAAAGTGAGTTATCCTGGCGAGTCAGCAGACCTACAGTGGATGATGCCCGTGTAAGAAATGCTATTAAATCACTGTGATTTGGGTTGTTTCTTATAACAGCATGTGCCTACTTACCTGACAGCCACGTCCATGCTATCAATTTATACATTTCTCACTTTTATAAAATAAAATAAAAATGAAACACAACCACATTGCTTTAGCCTCCCCTTTCTTCCTCCCTGGCTTTGTCCTTCCTCTCTGCGTGTTGCATGCATTTCATCCCTCCATTTCATCAGGGTTGTTGCTCTCCTGGTGAAGCCATGGCCTGTGTATGCTCCCTGGGAACCTGCATTTGGAATCCAGGCTCCCATGTCTCGGTGGTCACTTGGAAAGGCCCTTTCTTTGAAGCAGACCACAGGCTCACTCCACCCTCTGGAAGATTGCTAGGGGGACGTAAGGCTTAGAAAATAGGGACTCCCTTTTCTATTTATTTTCTCCTACCTGCAGGCCCCAGAACATCTGTCAGCATGAGGCTGGGAGATATTTCATGTCCTGGAAGCTTTGCATTTGCTCCTGTTATCACTGACATGAAGGGCTATTGCCCTGTTTCAGGTGCTGCTAGCAAAGGGGAAAACCACAGAAAAGGAAGAAACTGGAAGAAAACTTCAACCAACTGTGCAATTAATTAAATGGCAATAAATAAAAACTTGAGAAATCAGATAGTTTGTGGTTGATTTTTATGACTTTTAAAATAATATAACTGGTAGCAAAAAACTCTCCAAAATCTAAAACCACAGGTCACATTTTGGTTTTGGGTTTTTTTTTTTTTTTTGGTTCAAAATACAAAACACTTGGGAAAGATCATTTGAGCTATATTTTCCCCGTAGAGGTTGAAATTCTCTTCCTTTAAATGCTCCCTGGACAATTTACATGTCTTTTTATATTGGAATCAACATTTCTGCTCGAAGGCTTGGTAATATTAATGCTAATTATATAAAGCACCTCACAGTTATTAGAGCAATTTCACAGACATTATCTCATTTCATCCCATTGCTGGTTGGTACATGCTCTTACTTATGTTCCCAGATGCTAAGAGGCTTGTCCAAAATCCCTCATCCTGAATATTCCAGGATCTTCTAGATCAGGGCTCAGCCAATGGCAGCCATGAATGAAATTCAACCCACCACGAGTTTTTGTATGGTACATGAGCTAAGAGTGGGTTTCATAGTTTTAAATGATTGGGGGTAGAGTGAGGGAAAGAAGAAAATTTTGTAGCACAGGAAAATTATATAAGATTCAGATTTCAGCATCTATAAATGAAGCTTTCCTGGTGCTCAACCATGCTTACATAGTATCTATGGCTGCTTTCTCGCTATAAGGGCAGAGTTGAGTGGTTGCAACAGAGATAATTTGGACTGCAAAGCCTGAACTATTTACTCTCTGGCCCTTCACAGGAAAAGTTTGCCCACCTCTGTCCTAGATCATGGGCTTATTACATTGCACAAGAGCTGTCTTTCCAGAACCCTAGCAAACTCAGGGACAAAGGCAAACCCCGCAGGGATCTGGTGTGTAAGCCCAATAGAAGAGGCTTAGAAATTGGCCTGCAATGAAAGGCTAGTCCTTTAAATCGCAAGTGTCTCAGTCCTTTTGATTGGTGAGTTGGAGAGTGGGCTCTGGGCCTCCCGGCTGGCAGGCAGCTTCCTCTTCCAGGGGTGCATTGGAAATGTAACCTCACAAGACCTTTTCCAAAATGAAAGGGCGGCGTTCCTCTCTCCCCCTCCTCCACCTTCTCAACCACAGGAAGTAGTTCATCAACTGATGGGCTGTCCTTAGAGTTAGGAGGGCGAAACACCCCAGCTTACAGGCAGGGGGGACAAGGAATAAGGGAACAATGAAAGGCTCTAGTGTTTGTTTGGTCTTCAGTGAGGAGTTATTTGATGCACTGTTCCGCTCCTCGTGCGCCCAGTTGTCACTATGGAGCTGTCTGCTGTAGGTAGACCGAGCTAGTTCGAGTAGGGTGGGGAGGACAGGATGGACGAATCAGGCACAGAAGGCTTCTTCTGCTTGTGAGCAGAGCTCCTGATTTATTTTTACTCACTACTTTTTCTACCTGCAAGAGGAGATAATATTAAAATATAACATTATCTCTCTTTTCTGAGTGCCTATTATACACCGTTCAATTTGGATTGAAATAGACGGTCTCATGTAAATGTCTCCATGACTCTCTAACACCATAATGGACTGAAATCTGGTGTCTAAAACCCCTTCATGGTGGTGAGCTGGTGCCTGGTCTCTGTCATGCCTGCATTCGGGTTTTGCCCACCAAATCTCAAGAGCTCCACAAAGTCAAGTGAATTTTCAGTCACAGGCATGTTTTGCTCTGTGGAAGCTCATGACATCCCGGCTATAGAGAAGCATTCTCCAAGGGCATTTCCTCAGAACCAACTCCTGGGACCTTAAGGAATCTTTAAAAGAAAAAAAAAAGCTCAATTAGATTTCTTTACTCAAGGACTTCTCAGAGCCTTTAACACACAGGATTCACTGCCTTTTCCCTCTCTATCATTTGAAGGCATTTTATTCAGCCCGTCAGAGCCTTAGTTTCCTCCTCTGAAGAATGGAAACAAGGTATCTGCCTCTTAAAGTGCTAAATGTTATTATTTTTATTTTTCTGTTTTTGACTGGGTTCACTTAATTTCTGCCAAGTAAACTAAATGCTAGCAACCAGAGGGGACACTGAATAATTGTTGCAGAAAGAAAAAGGATTTTGCTAATAAAATAAGGTCAGCTACCTCTGTTAAGAGCAAAGCACAGCACACATTTTCCTTTTATTGGGTTACTTTTTGTAAAGGAAACAATGTGTCCAGGGTAGGGAAACCCATGAGCAACCACTTAAGGTACAAAGTCACATATTAAACATGCTTTCGCTAGAGAGGATGTCACATGTGTGAGTACTGATGACGGAAACGCAGTCACTGTAAAGGCAAGATAGGGGAGGCTTTGAAGCCTCCCGACAGTTAAAACATTCCTTTGGAAACACTGGGACGATTGTTTTTCCATGCACCTAGGTCAGGAGTCAGCAATATTTTTCTTTAAAGGGATAGAGATTAGATGTTTTAGACTTCACGGGGCATACAGACACTGTTGTAAATATTCAGCTGTACGGTTGAAAATTGCTGCTCTAGGAGACTGGATACAAAAACAGCCATATGTAAACAAGTGGGTATGGTTGTGTGCCAATAAAACTTTATTTACAAAAACAGGTGTCAGACTGTATTTGGGCTGAAGGATGTAGTTTGCCAATCCCTTGTCTAGGTGCTAGACATGAGTAGACAGGCCTCTTGGTGTGACATTTTGCTCAGTTTTTTTAAAGTGTTTTTGTTTGTTCTGCAGAATACAACATCACGCAGACGTAGTATTTTAACAAACGTGACTTTGGGAAAACTTCAGAGCTTTTTGTTTCCGAGTCATTTCTTCCAAAGAACGGACACTGAAGGGATAAAGATGGGGGTGAACTGGGACTGGGCACGGTGGTCGAGTCTCTAGGGCGGTGATTTTCAGCGTCCTGCTGTGGCACACTGATGTGCTGCAGGAATTTCTGAAACATGCAATACCTGACTATTCTGTCAGGGGCACTGACCTCTTTTCCCTTGGATTGTCAAGTTAAAAAATGAAAACATCCAACAAAACAATAGCCGTCTAATGTGGAGGAATCAAAATTATACCTATTTTGAAGGTCAGATAAGCAAAAAGTATATTTTTTGAATTGCTGCAGAATTTTAGTAATTGGTTTATGTGTGCCCCGAGAGGAAAACGGTTGAAAATTGCTGCTCTAGGGGACTGGGCTATGGGTCATGTAAGTTCAAGTCCTCCTACGATCAGGAGGGTTTCAGAATCCAGGGTCCAGTCAGACGGCCTGTCCGGCCGCTCACAATGGATAGAGCTCACAGAATGCAGCCTCAGAACAGCTTTCTCGAAAGGATTTGTTTTATTCCTTACTCAGGGAATGTCTGTCTGCAAGGAGCCAAACTTACCCTGATGACCCTTTGATAAGATACAAGAATATGAAGGTGAAGAACATGGCCTCTGGAGCCAATGCTGCCTGGATTCAGGTCATTGTACCATCCCTGGCTTGAGCCGCTAACCTAGGATATCTGTAACTCTGTTTTCTCAGCTGGAAAGTGGGAGTATCTAATCTGTAGGCAAGGATGCAACAAATGACGGTCAGAGTGTTGGCCCAGAGTGAACACTGTGTGCGCATTGCTGCTGCAGTTAATTTCCCATTGTTGTCACCACTTGTTTATGCTGTTGTTTAAGGGACTCTTTCTTAAAGATTTTATTTTATTTATCTTTAGAGGGGAAGGGAAGGAGAGAAGGAGAGAAATATCAATGTATGGTTGCCTCTCGTGCATCCCCTGCTGGGAATTGGACTGCAACCCAGGCATGTGCCCTGACTGGGAATGGAACTGTGGTTGTTTGGTTCGCAGGCCCGGGCTCAACCCACTGAGCTACACCAGCCAGGCCTCAGGACCTCTTTCATCACCCAGTTTCATAGGCGCCAAGAAGTCATTTATAATTTTGTATTTTTCAGCTCTTTTTCTTTTTGCTCATCTAGTCTTCTCCCTGTGTAGGCTTATTTCATTTTATTATCTACATGGTCTAGCAAGGCTACTTTAAAAAGGAGGCCCTGCCCCCAGCCCACACTTCTGCTGGGCCAGCACTTCACAGACGGCAGACAGGGTCTTCTTGCCCAGAGTGTCAGGGGCTCATCACTCCGACCTCAGGATCCCAGGAAGAGGTGGTGTCTCCTGGTCCATAAGGCTACCCCTTCCAAGACTCCGGCAGGGTTTGGTCTCCACAGGGGGAATGTGTTCAGCAGGTGGAAAATATTGGGCATGTCTGGTGCTGTGTCCCGAGGCTAAATTCACTCCAGGCACAGTGGACACCAGGTCAAGACAGCAGACATTGGCTAGACCCTGAGTCACAGGCGAGAGGAAACTTTTTCCATTCCACCCAACTGTCCAGGCTTCCCTTGACTCAGGACCTGAGCAAGATTCATTATACGGGTAGAGGATTTCAGAGCAGTCCTATGGGTGGGCCTGGGGTAGGTGGTAACTGACATCATGAACAAAAACAACTATAAAGCATGGAAGAATTTGCTTATTTCCAACCCTCTGTTCTCACTTGTTCAACAAATATTTATTGAGTGACTCCTAAGTGCTGGTTCCCTAGTAACTCTTCCCTGGTTACTAAGGAATATGCATTTAAAAAATGATAAAATAAACACACATTTTTCAAAAAAGATGAAGAACAATTTTGTAATCTCGGAAGTGATGGTCTCAACCCAGTCCTCTATGTGAATAATTCATTTATTTTAGAGATTCCCTGATGGTAACAGCAAATCTTATTGTCATTCTTATTCACATGCTCTAAAAGTTATTATTATTTAACCAACTTACTTACTATAATCCTTTTACAGAACAATACCTGAAAATCGACAGTGATACCATGAAATATTTCATGCAAGCATTACACAAATAATGTACATACAGTGTAAAATATACAAAATAATAAAACACAACCCCATATATTCAACACTTGGTTTCAGAAATAAAATTATACCAATCCCCCTGAAGCCCCCTGTGTGCTCCAACCCCCCGGGCTGGAGCCCCATCCCTCGGGCAAGACTGGACCATTCTCCTACATTTGGCGTGAGTCATT